TGGAGGCTCTAGACCCTTCCAGAGCTGAGATATCGAAATTCAAAATTTCGACCCGAAAAAAAAACGACAGTGTTACCCCTTTCGTTTTTTTTCATTTTTGGGCGAAAAATTAAGTTTCTCCAATCTTCTCAAAACTCTGGATTCTGATAGAGGGGCGCGAGACTTTGACCTGAGTGCAAAAATGGAGGCTCTAGACCCTTCCAGAGCTGAGATATCGAAATTCAAAATTTCGACCCGAAAAAAAAACGACAGTGTTACCCCTTTCGTTTTTTTTCATTTTTGGGCGAAAAATTAAGTTTCTCCAATCTTCTCAAAACTCTGGATTCTGATAGAGGGCGCGAGACTTTGACCTGAGTGCAAAAATGGAGGCTCTAGACCCTTCCAGAGCTGAGATATCGAAATTCAAAATTTCGACCCGAAAAAAAAACGACAGTGTTACCCCTTTCGTTTTTTTTCATTTTTGGGCGAAAAATTAAGTTTCTCCAATCTTCTCAAAACTCTGGATTCTGATAGAGGGCGCGAGACTTTGACCTGAGTGCAAAAATGGAGGCTCTAGACCCTTCCAGAGCTGAGATATCGAAATTCAAAATTTCGACCCGAAAAAAAAACGACAGTGTTACCCCTTTCGTTTTTTTTCATTTTTGGGCGAAAAATTAAGTTTCTCCAATCTTCTCAAAACTCTGGATTCTGATAGAGGGCGCGAGACTTTGACCTGAGTGCAAAAATGGAGGCTCTAGACCCTTCCAGAGCTGAGATATCGAAATTCAAAATTTCGACCCGAAAAAAAAACGACAGTGTTACCCCTTTCGTTTTTTTTCATTTTTGGGCGAAAAATTAAGTTTCTCCAATCTTCTCAAAACTCTGGATTCTGATAGAGGGGCGCGAGACTTTGACCTGAGTGCAAAAATGGAGGCTCTAGACCCTTCCAGAGCTGAGATATCGAAATTCAAAATTTCGACCCGAAAAAAAAACGACAGTGTTACCCCTTTCGTTTTTTTTCATTTTTGGGCGAAAAATTAAGTTTCTCCAATCTTCTCAAAACTCTGGATTCTGATAGAGGGCGCGAGACTTTGACCTGAGTGCAAAAATGGAGGCTCTAGACCCTTCCAGAGCTGAGATATCGAAATTCAAAATTTCGACCCGAAAAAAAAACGACAGTGTTACCCCTTTCGTTTTTTTTCATTTTTGGGCGAAAAATTAAGTTTCTCCAATCTTCTCAAAACTCTGGATTCTGATAGAGGGCGCGAGACTTTGACCTGAGTGCAAAAATGGAGGCTCTAGACCCTTCCAGAGCTGAGATATCGAAATTCAAAATTTCGACCCGAAAAAAAAAACGACAGTGTTACCCCTTTCGTTTTTTTTCATTTTTGGGCGAAAAATTAAGTTTCTCCAATCTTCTCAAAACTCTGGATTCTGATAGAGGGGCGCGAGACTTTGACCTGAGTGCAAAAATGGAGGCTCTAGACCCTTCCAGAGCTGAGATATCGAAATTCAAAATTTCGACCCGAAAAAAAAACGACAGTGTTACCCCTTTCGTTTTTTTTTTTTTGGGCGAAAAATTAAGTTTCTCCAATCTTCTCAAAACTCTGGATTCTGATAGAGGGCGCGAGACTTTGACCTGAGTGCAAAAATGGAGGCTCTAGACCCTTCCAGAGCTGAGATATCGAAATTCAAAATTTCGACCCGAAAAAAAAACGACAGTGTTACCCCTTTCGTTTTTTTTCATTTTTGGGCGAAAAATTAAGTTTCTCCAATCTTCTCAAAACTCTGGATTCTGATAGAGGGGCGCGAGACTTTGACCTGAGTGCAAAAATGGAGGCTCTAGACCCTTCCAGAGCTGAGATATCGAAATTCAAAATTTCGACCCGAAAAAAAAACGACAGTGTTACCCCTTTCGTTTTTTTTCATTTTTGGGCGAAAAATTAAGTTTCTCCAATCTTCTCAAAACTCTGGATTCTGATAGAGGGCGCGAGACTTTGACCTGAGTGCAAAAATGGAGGCTCTAGACCCTTCCAGAGCTGAGATATCGAAATTCAAAATTTCGACCCGAAAAAAAAACGACAGTGTTACCCCTTTCGTTTTTTTTTCATTTTTGGGCGAAAAATTAAGTTTCTCCAATCTTCTCAAAACTCTGGATTCTGATAGAGGGGCGCGAGACTTTGACCTGAGTGCAAAAATGGAGGCTCTAGACCCTTCCAGAGCTGAGATATCGAAATTCAAAATTTCGACCCGAAAAAAAAACGACAGTGTTACCCCTTTCGTTTTTTTTCATTTTGGGCGAAAAATTAAGTTTCTCCAATCTTCTCAAAACTCTGGATTCTGATAGAGGGCGCGAGACTTTGACCTGAGTGCAAAAATGGAGGCTCTAGACCCTTCCAGAGCTGAGATATCGAAATTCAAAATTTCGACCCGAAAAAAAAACGACAGTGTTACCCCTTTCGTTTTTTTTCATTTTTGGGCGAAAAATTAAGTTTCTCCAATCTTCTCAAAACTCTGGATTCTGATAGAGGGCGCGAGACTTTGACCTGAGTGCAAAAATGGAGGCTCTAGACCCTTCCAGAGCTGAGATATCGAAATTCAAAATTTCGACCCGAAAAAAAAACGACAGTGTTACCCCTTTCGTTTTTTTTCATTTTTGGGCGAAAAATTAAGTTTCTCCAATCTTCTCAAAACTCTGGATTCTGATAGAGGGCGCGAGACTTTGACCTGAGTGCAAAAATGGAGGCTCTAGACCCTTCCAGAGCTGAGATATCGAAATTCAAAATTTCGACCCGAAAAAAAAACGACAGTGTTACCCCTTTCGTTTTTTTTCATTTTTGGGCGAAAAATTAAGTTTCTCCAATCTTCTCAAAACTCTGGATTCTGATAGAGGGCGCGAGACTTTGACCTGAGTGCAAAAATGGAGGCTCTAGACCCTTCCAGAGCTGAGATATCGAAATTCAAAATTTCGACCCGAAAAAAAAACGACAGTGTTACCCCTTTCGTTTTTTTTCATTTTTGGGCGAAAAATGAAGTTTCTCCAATCTTCTCAAAACTCTGGATTCTGATAGAGGGGCGCGAGACTTTGACCTGAGTGCAAAAATGGAGGCTCTAGACCCTTCCAGAGCTGAGATATCGAAATTCAAAATTTCGACCCGAAAAAAAAACGACAGTGTTACCCCTTTCGTTTTTTTTTCATTTTTGGGCGAAAAATGAAGTTTCTCCAATCTTCTCAAAACTCTGGATTCTGATAGAGGGGCGCGAGACTTTGACCTGAGTGCAAAAATGGAGGCTCTAGACCCTTCCAGAGCTGAGATATCGAAATTCAAAATTTCGACCCGAAAAAAAAAACGACAGTGTTACCCCTTTCGTTTTTTTTTTTCATTTTTGGGCGAAAAATGAAGTTTCTCCAATCTTCTCAAAACTCTGGATTCTGATAGAGGGGCGCGAGACTTTGACCTGAGTGCAAAAATGGAGGCTCTAGACCCTTCCAGAGCTGAGATATAGAAATTCAAAATTTCGACCCAAAAAAAAAACGACAGTGTTACCCCTTTCGTTTTTTTTTTTTTTTTTTGGGTGAAAAATTAAGTTTCTCCAATCTTCTCAAAACTCTGGATTCTGATAGAGGGCAATGAGACTTAGACCTGAGTGCAAAAATGGAGGCTCTAGACCCTTCCAGAGCTAAGATATCGAAACTCAAATATTCGACCCGAAAAAAAAAACGACAGTGTTACCCCTTTCGTTTTTTTTGGGGGGGGGGAAAAATTAAGTTTCTCCAATCTTCTCAAAACTCTGGATTCTGATAGAGGGCAATGAGACTTAGACCTGAGTGCAAAAATGGAGGCTCTAGACCCTTCCAGAGCTGAGATATCGAAACTCAAAAATTCGACCCGAAAAAAAAAAACGACAGTGGTACCCCTTTCGGGTTTTTTTTTTCGGGCGAAAAATTAAGTTTCTCCAATCTTCTCAAAACTCTGGATTCTGATAGAGGGCCATGAGACTTAAACCTGAGTGCAAAAATGGAGGCTCTAGACCCTTCCAGAGCTGAGATATCGAAACTCAAAAATTCGACCCAAAAAAAAAACAACAGTGTTTCTTTTTTTTTTCAGGTGAAAAATTAAGTTTCTCCAATCTTCTCAAAACTCTGGAATCTGATAGAGGGCCATGAGGCTTAAACTTGAGTGCAAAAATAGAGGCTCTAGACCCTTCCAGAGATATCGAAACTCAAAAATTCGACCCGAAAAAAAAAACGACAGTGGTACCCCTTTTGTTTTGTTTTTTTTCCGGGCGAAAAATCAAGTTTCTCCAATCTTCTCAAAACTCTGGATTCTGATAGAGGGCCATGAGATTTAAACCTGAGTGCAAAAATGGAGGCTCTAGACCCTTCCAGAGCTGAGATATTGAGATCCCACGTAGCTTTTATGCCATTATAAATATCTCAGCTCTGGAAGGGTCTAGAGCCTCAATTTTTGCACTCAGGTCTAAGTCCCAATGCCTATGGATTCTCTATCAGAATCCAGAGTTTCAAGAAGATCAGAGCAACTAAAAATTTCAACCCAAAAAAATTCCCAATCTTGTCAAAACTCTGGATTCTGGTAGAGGGCCATGAGACTTAGACCTGAGTGCAAAAATGGAGTCTCTTGACCCTTCCTGAGCTGACATATTGAGATCCCACGCCCAAATTGAGATTTTTTTTTTTTGTCCCTTATTAGTGTTGATATATTGAGGAACATTTAAGTTGGATTAAAAGTGAGTTAACACAACCTCAGCATGTAGGCTAAATGCACTGTTGAGCTCGTAATGTGAATCTTGTCTGTATGTCACAGGGACAGAAGAACACGCGTGTGTTTATCCGGTGGAGAGAGGCTCATGATGCTGAATGATGTCATCAAAGGCTTTGAGTGAGTATACTACAGAAATGGATAGAAATTACAACATTTTTCTGAGTCTTGATTTCTGTGCATTTTCTGCAGAGCTTTTGTGGTGGACCTGCAAGGAAAGATGATGGCAGTATTTGTTTGGGAAAAAAAGTTTTGGGGATTTTACTCAAATATAAAGTAAGGTTATTTTTAATACATAAATCAAATGACATTGTGCTGTTAAAATGACTGTTTTGTGTAATGTTTGTGCATTTTTGTAGGATCTGAAATATTTGCAGACTGGTGTGAGCACTGAGGATGAGGAGCCCAGAGCTGCATCCTAGAAGTGGTCCCATGGATGAGTCCCTCTATCGCTCCACCTGCCCTTATTGCCTCAGATTGTGAAGCACAGCACAGCAACAAGCTCTGGGACGAAGGCACACTCCCCTCTGGTGAATTCATCAGAATAAAGCTGCAGAATGGGAACCGCTGTGTTGAGTCGGTCGTAGGATGTGGTGTTCAGCGCCTGTAAAAACATGCTTGTAGTTTGAATAAAGCTTTGTTTCATGTGTTGTTGACTTTTATATGCATTTGTTTATTGTGATGGTTGCTTTTATTTGTTCTTTTACTCATTTATTCATGTTTCTTATTGTTGTCAGTATATAAAATATAATTATTTAATTAATGTACGCATTAATTCATCGATTGACTAACAATTGAGATGTTTCACTGCATTTAGCAATATAAATGTATTCATGCATAACTGTCATGTGACAAAACAAATTTCATTTTGCTTGTTTTATTAAATTATATTTTTAGTATGTAAAAAAGTTTTATAATTAAGTATTGGTCAGCATTTAATATTATTGTTGTGTTTAAGTTTTGCTAACAATGCAATTCATTCTGAGGTAATGTTAATTTTTAAGGAGTGATACTTACATTTTTTCGAATATAAAATCAACAGTTTTCTCCAAAAGAGATCTTCGAGCAGCTGCCTGTCTCTTTTGTGCAGACATTACAAAATGCAGAGGAAAACTGTTCTAGGTTGTGCTGTCGAGTTACTGATGTTATGAAGTGTTAGTGCACCTGTTGCATATATTTTAAACTTATTACATTCAAGATCATGGAAAGATACCATAGTTGTATGTAACAATCATAATGACAAAACAGAAAATATAAGGATTTGTTGCATTTGTGTAATAATAAACACACAAGGTTTTAGAATATGAACACATGAACACGCAAGGTTTTAGAATATTTCAGCGTGATACCATTTACCATTTTGGTCAAAAGGCTACTTTAGACAAATTGAGATGTTTACCGTGTCTATGCGGTGCATGACTTGTGCCAGGGCTAGCATTGTAGCTTGCATTAACTTTTACTAGTGATTTTAAATGGATTTCTCCAAATAGCATGACAAACTTTGCCTGTCTGGTAGAATCTTCGCGACTGCGGCATCAGTGAGAAGCCCAACCTGTGCTTTTAGCGCACGCCAGCGTGTGATATTCACCCAAAATCACTCTGGTCTTGTTTCTATATTCTGCGGCCTTTCTCTTCTTATCATACACTTCGTAAACATTTTTTCTCTTTCGACCCTCAGCCATTTTCAAAGGAATGGCTGAAACCGTAACTCCGACATAATACACCTGAAAGTGAAAACTACATAGGGATGAGCACGTAGCCTACGACGGCCTTACGTAAACATATCACCAGAATGATTGACACTTAGGTGGACCAATAGTATAGACTACCCACCCGGAAAAAGAAAATCCTCCGCTATATCTTTAAGTATGCGCTTTGGAACACAGCCATGATCTCAATTCCAGAAGGGTCTAGAACCTCCATTTCTGCACTCAGGTCTAAGTCTCATGGCCCTCTATCAGAATCCAGAGTTTCAAGAAGATCATTGAAACTCAAAATTTCGACCGAAAAAAAAAAAACGACAGTGGTACGTACCCCTGTCGTTTTTTGTTTTTTTTTTCGGCGAGAAAAAAATAAGTTTCTCCAATCTTCTCAAAACTCTGGATTCTGATAGCGGGTCATGAGACTTAGACCTGAGTGCAAAAATGGAGTCTCTAGACCCTTCCTGGGCTGAGATATTGAGATCCCACATAGCATGCCATTATAAATATCTCAGCTCTAGAAGGGTCTACAGCCTCCATTTTTGCACTCAGGTCTAAGACCCACAGCCCTCTATCAGAATACAGAGTTTCAAGAAGATCAGAGCAACTAAAAATTTCAACCCAAAAAATTTCCCAATCTTGTCAAAACTCTGGATTCTGATAGAGGGCCATGAGACTTAGACCTGAGTGCAAAAATGGAGTCTCTTGACCCTTCCTGAGCTGAGATCTTGAGATCCCACGCCCAAATTGAGATTTTTTTTTTGTCCCTTATTAGTGTTGATATATTGAGGAACATTTAAATTTGATTAAAAGTGAGTTAACACAACCTCAGCATGTAGGCTAAATGCACTGTTGAGCTTGTAATGTGAATCTTGTCTGTATGTCACAGGGACAGACGAACACGCGTGTGTTTATCCGGTGGAGAGAGGCTCATGATGCTGAATGATGTCATCAAAGGCTTTGAGTGAGTATACTACAGAAATGGATAGAAATTACAACATTTTTCTGAGTCTTGATTTCTTTGCATTTTCTGCAGAGCTTTTGTGGTGGAGCAAGACCTGCAAGGAAAGATGATGGCAGTATTTGTTTGGGAAAAAAAAGTTTTGGGGATTTTACTCAAATATAAAGTAAGGTTATTTTTAATACATAAATCAAATGACATTGTGCTGTTAAAATGATCACTTTTGTGTAATGTTTGTGCATTTTTGTAGGATCTGAAATGTCTGCAGACTGGTGTGAGCACTGAGGATGAGGAGCCCAGAGCTGCATCCTAGAAGTGGTCCCATGGATGAGTCCCTCTATCGCTCCACCTGCCCTTATTGCCTCAGATTGTGAAGCACAGCACAGCAACAAGCTCTGGGACGAAGGCACACTCCCCTCTGGTGAATTCATCAGAATAAAGCTGCAGAATGGGAACCGCTGTGTTGAGTCGGTAGAAGGATGTGGTGTTCAGCGCCTGTAAAAACATGCTTGTAGTTTGAATAAAGCTTTGTTTCATGTGTTGTTGACTTTTATTTGCATTTGTTTATTGTGATGGTTGCTTTTATTTGTTCTTTTACTCATTTATTCATGTTTCTTATTGTTGTCAGTATATAAAATATAATTATTTAATTAATGTACGCATTAATTCATCGATTGACTAACAATTGAGATGTTTCACTGCATTTAGCAATATAAATGTATTCATGCATAACTGTCATATGACAAAACAAATTTCATTTTGCTTGTTTTATTAAATTATATTTTTAGTATGTAAAAAAGTTTTATAATTAAGTATTGGTCAGCATTTAATATTATTGTTGTGTTTAAATTTTGGGGTGGGCTAACAATGCAATTCATTCTGAGGTAATATTAATTTTTAAGGAGTGATACTTACATTTTCTCGAGATCTTCGAGCAGCTGCCTCTCTCCTTTGTGCAGACATTACAAATGCAGAGGAAAACTGTTCTTGGTTGTGCTGTCGAGTTACTGATGTTATGAAGTGTTAGTGCACCTGTTGCATATATATTTTAAACTTATTACAAACAAATCATGGAAAGATACCATAGTTGTATGTAACAATCATAATGACAAAACAGAAAATATAAGGATCATTGGTTTGTGTTGCGCTTGTGATAACGCTTAGTAGGTCACATGATAACGTCAAAATGGCAGAGGTCCAGTTCTCTTTCATACTCAACGAGATTTGGTTATAAAGTACCTCCTCTTTTAGCACTCGTTGAGTTAGTACTTATCGAAATTAAGAACCTACTCATTAAGTATGCGGTTTGGAACACAGCCATGATCTCAGTTCCAGAAGGGCCTAGAGCTTCCATTTTTGCACTCAGGTCTAAGTCTCATGGCCCTCTATCAGAATCCAGAGTTTTAAGAAGATCAGAGCAACTAAAAATGTCGACCCAAAAAAAAAAAAAAAACGACAGTGGTACCCCTGTCATTTTTTTTTTTTTTTTTTTTGGTTTTTTTCGGCACGAAAAAAATAAGTTTCTCCAATCTTCTCAAAACTCTGAATTCTGATAGAGGGCCATGATGAGACTTAGACCTGAGTGCAAAAATGGAGTCTCAAGACCCTTCATGGGCTGAGATATTGAGATCCCACGCAAAACTCTGGATTCTGATAGAGAGCCTTAAGACTTAGACCTGAGTGAAAAAAAAAGGAGGCTCTATACCCTTCCTGCACTGAGATATTGAGATATTTATAATGGCATAAATGCTACATGGGATCTCAATATCTCAGCTCTGGAAGAGCCTAGAGCCTCCATTTTTGCACTCAGGTCTAAGTCTCATGATCCTCTGTCAGAATCCAGAGTTTCAAGAAGATCATAGAAACTCAAAATTTCGACCGAAAAAAAAAAAACGACAATGGTACCCCTATCGTTTTTTGTTGTTTTTTTTCGGCATGAAAAAATAAGTTTCTTCATTCTTCTCAAAACTCTGGATCCTGATAGAGGGCCATGAGCCTTAGACCTGAGTGCAAAAATGGAGGCTCTAGTCTAGACCCTTCCAGAGCTGAGATATTGAGATATTTATAATGGCATAAATGCTACGTGGGATCTCAATATCTCAGCTCTTGAAGAGCCTAGAGCCTCGATTTTTGCACTCAGGTCTAAATCTCATGATCCTCTGTCAGAATTCAGAGTTTCAAGAAGATCATAGAAACTCAAAATTTCGACCCAAAAAAAAAAAAAAAAAACGACAGTGGTACCCCTGTCGGTTTTTTTTGTTTTTTTTTTCACGCCGAAAAAATAAGTTTCTCCAATCTTCTCAAAACTCTGGATTCTGATAGAGGGCCATGAGACTTAGACCTGAGTGCAAAAATGGAGTCTCTAGACCCTTCCTGGGCTGAGATATTGAGAGCCCACGTATCATTTATGCCATTATAAATATCTCATTATCTCAGCTCTGGAAGGGTCTAGAGCCTCCATTTTTGCACTCAGGTCTAAGTCTCATGGCCCTCTATCAGAATCCATAGTTTTTAGAAGATCAGAGAAACTCAATTCCGACCCAAAAAATAAAATGACAGTGGTACCCCTGTCGTTTTTTTTTTTCGGCGCGAAAAAATAAGTTTCTCCCATCTTCTCAAAACTCTGGATTCTGATAGAGGGCCATGAGACTTAGACCTGAGTGCAATAATGGAGGCTCTAGACCCTAGACCGCTCTGAGATCCCACGTAGCATTTATGTCATTATAAATATCTCAATATCTCAGCTCTGGAAGAGCCTAGAGCCTCCATTTTTGCACTCAGGTCTAAGTCTCATGATCCTCTGTCAGAATCCAGAGTTTCAAGAAGATCATAGAAACTCAAAATTTCGACCCAAAAAAAAAAAAAACGACAGTGGTACCCCTGTCGTTTTTTTTTCGGCGCGAAAAAATAAGTTTCTCCAATCTTCTCAAAACTACGGATTCTGATAGAGTGCCATGAGACTTAGACCTGAGTGCAAAAATGGAGTCTCTAGACCCTTCCTGGGCTGAGATATTGAGATCCCACGTATCATTTATGCCATTATAAATATCTCATTATCTCAGCTCTGGAAGGGTCTAGAGCCTCCATTTTTGCACTCAGGTCTAAGTCTCATGGCCCTCTATCAGAATCCATAGTTTCTAGAAGATCAGAGAAACTCAATTCCGACCCAAAAAATAAAATGACAGTGGTACCCCTGTCGTTTTTTTTTTTCGGCGCGAAAAAATAAGTTTCTCCCATCTTCTCAAAACTCTGGATTCTGATAGAGGGCCATGAGACTTAGACCTGAGTGCAATAATGGAGGCTCTAGACCCTAGACCGCTCTGAGATCCCACGTAGCATTTATGTCATTATAAATATCTCAATATCTCAGCTCTGGAAGAGCCTAGAGCCTCCATTTTTGCACTCAGGTCTAAGTCTCATGATCCTCTGTCAGAATCCAGAGTTTCAAGAAGATCATAGAAACTCAAAATTTCGACCCAAAAAAAAAAAAAAACGACAGTGGTACCCCTGTCGTTTTTTTTTCGGCGCGAAAAAATAAGTTTCTCCAATCTTCTCAAAACTACGGATTCTGATAGAGTGCCATGAGACTTAGACCTGAGTGCAAAAATGGAGTCTCTAGACCCTTCCTGGGCTGAGATATTGAGATCCCACGTATCATTTATGCCATTATAAATATCTCATTATCTCAGCTCTGGAAGGGTCTAGAGCCTCCATTTTTGCACTCAGGTCTAAGTCTCATGGCCCTCTATCAGAATCCATAGTTTCTAGAAGATCAGAGAAACTCAATTCCGACCCAAAAAATAAAATGACAGTGGTACCCCTGTCGTTTTTTTTTTTCGGCGCGAAAAAATAAGTTTCTCCCATCTTCTCAAAACTCTGGATTCTGATAGAGGGCCATGAGACTTAGACCTGAGTGCAATAATGGAGGCTCTAGACCCTAGACCGCTCTGAGATCCCACGTAGCATTTATGTCATTATAAATATCTCAATATCTCAGCTCTGGAAGAGCCTAGAGCCTCCATTTTTGCACTCAGGTCTAAGTCTCATGATCCTCTGTCAGAATCCAGAGTTTCAAGAAGATCATAGAAACTCAAAATTTCAACCCAAAAAAAAAAAAAAAAACCACAGTGGTACCCCTGTCGTTTTTTTTTTTTTTTTTCAGAGCGAAAAAATAAGTTTCTCCAATCTTCTCAAAACTCTGGATTCTGATAGAGGGCCATGAGACTTATACCGGAGTGCAAAAATGGAGTCTCTAGACCCTTCCTGGACTGAAATATTGAGATCCCACTTAGCATTTATGCCATTATAAAAATAGTGAGATAAATGATACGTGGGCTCTCAATATCAATAAATTAGTATTTACCACCCTCTCCCCACCGAGAGAGTAAACCCCAGCACGAGGATTGGACTTGATACACGCTAATGCATGAACTCCACGAACGCTACTGCAGTATCACCCAGCTCTGGTAAGCTGTGTGTTTGTAGACGTCTGCCCTCCACACGCTTCATCCACATTTTGCCTGTTCTCTTCCTTTTGTACCAGCTCCAGCTCTCCTGCTGATTGCCAACAGGTGTGCACACTTGCTGATTGTCCTCTGCAGGTCCTGTGTGCTTTTGGCAGACAAGCAGCAGTACACCTAGGCAGACATCTAAGGGCCATAACATATTTGCAATATATATATATATATACTGTATATATCTTTTTTTTCCGCCTTGATAGACAGATTTTTTTTTTTTCCGTAAGTAAAAAGATTTGCATCTGAACAAATTCGGTTGGAAACTGATATTGTTAGCCCTAAGAAAAGTAACTTACTTTCCCACTTCTAAGCCAATTAAGAATTTCACGAAAAAGCATAATACGTGTTACAATATTTATTTTTCAAAATAATGTTGGATGAAAATTAATTTCCATGTCTTATCTTGTATTTGCTTCAATTTGCTGGCACATTTCATGTGCATTCCTTTCTGTTTGTATATATCAGTAGCTTGGGGGCAGGTATTAATTAATGAGAGAGAGGATTCTGGGAGAAATAAAGTCTGGTCTTTTGCACAGTGCTTTCCCGTGCCAAGCTCATTTAGCTCAGAGCTTTTTTCTCTGGGTGCCTGTCCGCCGTA